ACTTTGCATTCCAGGGAAGGGGAATCAGATACCGCATCTGACAGTTCTAATGAGTCCTCCTCGTCGTCTGACGGGAAGGACGAGGTGGATAAAATAACCCAACTTTTTCAACAATGGTGGAGGACACAAAAGAAGGCTCCTACTCCCACGGCCCCTCCTTATACTTCTTTTTCTGGTATCTCATGGGGCTCTGGATGTAGGCTGGGAGGGGCGCTCCTTCTCATTTTCCGTGTCCATGTTCTATGATGATGATATCCCTGCGCCTTCTGGTGGTTTTGTAGATCCTCCACAATTATTCCCAATTCAGCGGCAAGCAGCTCCCAACAATATGATTAATATTCAATATTTGCCTTTTGAATATAAAATTTTCAAGGATCTTAAGGCTGCTGTTGCTCAATATGGTCCCGAATCCCCTTTTGTACTAGCTATGTTTGATTCTATAGGGAAAACAAAATTGGTTCTTCCCCTGGATTGAGAGGCCATAGCCCAGGCTGTGCTTGAAGGATCCCAATGGTTGCAATTAAGAAGTTGGTGGGAAGAAAAAGCCCAAAAAGAGGCTCGAATTAATGAGGGACAAAACCCTCCTGGTCCTCTAGAAGATAAATTGATAGGAATAGTACAGTTTCGAGCCTTAGCAGAGCAGGCTCAATATTCTGGCCAGGACTTGCAACAAATGCGCCAAGTATTTCTTAAAGCTTGGCGTCATGTTGTACCGACTGGTCACACTCAGCCCTCTTTTACAAAAACTGTACAAGGACCCAATGAACCCTATACTGATTTTCTTACTAGATTGCGGGTGGCTGTTAAGCGGGCTGTTGGACGTGATAAAATCTCGGAGATACTTTTACAAACACTTGCTTTTGAAAATGCGAACCCGGAATGTAAACGTGTTTTGGGCCCTTTGAAGGGGCAGGGAGCTTCTATAGCTGAATATATTAGAGCTTGTTTGGGAGTGGGAGGAGTTGGGCATAATGCTACTGTTTTTGCTACTGCCTTGGCTCAAACTATGAAGCCCTCTAAGGGCGGAAATTGTTACCATTGTGGGAAACCTGGACATATGAAAAAGAACTGCAAAAAATTGAAGACAAAACAAGGATAAGCAAAACAAAATAAGCCTCCTGGGCTTTGCCACCGATGTGGTAGAGGGTTTCACTGGGCCAATGAATGTCGTTCTAAAACTGACAAATACGGTAATCCCATTGGTAACCCACACTCGGGAAACTACTTAGCAGGCCTCAGTCCCCGGGGCCCAGGAACAATGCCGGGGACTCAGTGGGCTGCACCTCCCACTCCTCAAGTAACCCCTTTGTTCCCCAGCAACCCTTAGAAATGACTACTACATCAGGAATAACCAAACCTTTAATGGTGTCAGATTTATGCTCTGCAACCTCAAGAAGTACTGCTGCTGACTTGCCTCTTGCTGAAAATGTTCTCTTGTCTCCGGGAGGTGGCATTTATAAATTAAGAACAAATATATTTGGCCCATTGCCTAAAGGCATCTTTGGCTTAATATTGGGCCGCAGCAGCGCAGCTTTAAGAGGTCTAACCATAATTCCTGGAGTGATAGACTCTGATTTTGTTGGAGAAATTTTAATCATGGTTTCTACTTCTATTACGCTTTCACTATTAGCTGGAGAACGTATAGCACAAATACTTCTTTTATCTTATCTTCCCTTTTCTGCTCTTCCTAATGAAAGGTCAGGAGGTTTTGAAAGTACTGGGTAACATATATTTTGGGAAATGCTTATCAAGGATTCTCGCCCTGTTCTTTCCTTGACCATACAAGGAAGGAACTTTAAAGGGTTAATAGACACAGAGGCAGACGTCTCAGTCATTTCCTCTCAACAATGGCCCCAGGAATGGAACAAAGAAAAAAGTCCTCTAATGCTGACAGGATTAGGCTCTATTGCCAATGTTTGGAAGAGTATTCATCCTTTACAATGCCAGTTTCATAATGAAAAAAGTTTTTATCACCTTTTATATTGTTAGTATACCTATTAATATATGGGGAAGAGATCTTCTCTCGCCCATGGGGGCTGCTGTAGCCATTCCGTCAGGAAACTAGTGGCCACTGCTCAAATTCCTCGAGTGCTCCCTTTAAAATGGATAATTCATACCCCTAAATGGGTTGAACAGTGGCCATTACCAAAAATAAAGCTCGAGGCCTTAGAGCAATTAGTATCAGAGCAACTTCAACTTGGCCATATAGAGCCTTCTACTTCCCCTTGGAATTCTCCTGTATTTGTTATAAAAAAGAAATCTGGAAAATGGAGAATGTTGACTGATTTAAGAGAAGTTAATAAATGTATTGAACCTATGGGAACTTTACAATTGGGCCTTCCTTCTCCTGCTCTCATTCCTCAAAATTGGTCCTTAATGGTACTATATCTTAAGGATTGTTTTTTTACTATTCCTTTACAATTACAAGATAGAGATAAATTTGCTTTCACGGTTCCTGTTCTTAATCACGCTCAACCTGTTAAGCGCTATCAATGGACAGTCTTGTCACAGGGAATGATAAATAGTCCTACCTTATGTCAAGAGTTTGTAGCTCGTTCCTTACAGTCTATCTGTCAAAAGTATCCTAATTATATTCTCTATCATTATATGGATGATCTCTTATTGGCAGCTCCCAGTATTGCTGAACGTGATAAATTCTTCTTAAAGTTACTGGAAGCTTAAAACAATATAACTTACATATAGCGCCAGAAAAAGTTCAAAAGGATTTTCCCATTTCTTATTTAGGGACAATATTAGACTAACAGCGAATCCGGCCTCAGAAATTACAAATTAGAAGAGACCATTTGAAAACTTTAAATGACTTCCAAAAATTATTAGGAGATATTAATTGGCTACGCCCGGTGCTTGGAATTCCTACTTACCAATTACGACACTTATTTTCTACTTTAGAAGGAGACACAGCTTTAGATAGTCCCCGAATCTTAACCCCCTTGGCTTTGCAAGAACTTCAATTTGTTGAACAAAGATTAAATGATGGTTTTTTAACATATATTTCTGCTTCTCAACCTATTTTATTCATAATATTTCATACCCCTCCTTCTCCATCTGGTGCGATTGCTCAAGAAAAAGGATTAATAGAGTGGGTTTTTTTACCCAATAGTTTCTCTAAAAAATTAACTACATATATGGATAAATTAGCATTTCTTATACAAAAAGGTCGCAATCGCATTCTACAATTATCAGGGAAAGAACCACACCAGATTGTTACTCAACTAACAAATGCTCAAATATCTTTATGCTTACAATTTAATGAAAATTGGCAAATTTCCCTTGCTTCATTTCCTGGTTCATTTTCTAATAATTATCTATCATCTAAATTGATTGATTTTCTTCGAACTAACCCCATGATACCTCAGTCTCCGATTTCAAATATTCCAGTTCAAGGACCCACTGTTTTTACTGATGCAAATAAAAACACCACTGGATATTGGACTTTTGAACGTTCTAAAGTCCTTCCCCATTCGTTCTCCTCTGTACAACCTGCTGAGTTGTGGGCTATTTATTTAGTTTTACAAGATTTTCCTCAACTTCCTGTTAACATTGTTTCAGATTCTCGATATGCTATTCTCTCTTGTCTACAGCTTCCTCAGGTTTCATTGCCTATAACTCTTAAGACAGATATTGACAAATTGTTTTATCAGGTACAACAATCGCTTCTACGGCGTTCAAAATCAATTTTCTTTACTCATATCTGTGCACATTCCGCCCTTCCTGGACCCTTATCATTTGGAAATGTTACAATTGATGCATTACTTTTTCCTATAGAAGCAGCAAAACAAGAACATCATCTGCAACATACCAATTCTAAAGGCTTAAAAAAATATTATCCTATCACTCGCAAACAAGCTTAAAATATTGTTCGCTCTTGTTCCATATGTGCGCCTTTTACCTTACCATTTACCCCACCGGGTGTCAACATAAGAGAATTACAAGCAAATCAGATATGGCAAATGGATGTAATTTTTATTTCATCTTTTGGACAGCAAAAATGTGTTCATCATACTATAGATACATGCACACATTTCCAATGGGCTACTGCATTACATTCTGAAAAAGCTGACGCTGTTATTACTCATTTATTGTCTTGTTTTGCAATTATGGGAGTACCAATTGAATTAAAAA